GGAGGAGGAGGAGGAGGAGGAAGGGGAGGAGAAGGGGGAGGGGGAGGAAAGGAGAGGGAAGGGAAGGGAAGGAGAGGGAAGGGAAGAGATTGGGAAGGAGGAGAAAATTGGAATTCTGTTTGAGAAAGAAGGTTTTACTTTTGAAACATTTAGAGGAAATTTTGACCTTGTGCAATTTGGCCTGAAATAGAAAAATCAAAGGATTTGGAGTATTAGAAGAAGAATTAATACCAAATTAAGTGTCAGAAGAAGGAAAGCAAGGGAGAAATTACACATGCATATTCACATATGAGCTGCAGCTTCACTAAGAACTGTCACTCTTACAGGTCAAATTCTTTTATGACTCTATTTGCCCTCAGAATAGAATCCAAACTTCATGAGCTTCGGTTAAAAGACCTTCTATCTTTCTTTCCTTTCAAGTTCTACCTGAATGCTGCACCTCTAGGTGGCCTTTCTTACTCAAACATGGTCGTGCCCAGCCTCTTTGCATATGCTTTCTGGTGCCATCCCCGTCACACACTTGGCAAATTCCTGCTCTTCCTTGTGACCCAGGTGCAGCATCTCTTGCACTAGCAGCATCCGTCCTAGCTCCTCTACCACTTGTGGACTTCTTTAAGCTGCTACTCTCCCTTAAACTTATGTCATAGCGTTCATACCCCAGCTGACAGGTGTCTTTCTGCATCTCTCTCCAACTAAGCTGTACAGTCCTTCAGAACTATGAGTATATCTCTTTTCTCTATATGTTATACTTAGCATAAGACCTAGCACATACCAAGTTTCAATACTTGTTTCTATAATAAATTGGGTGAATCAGTGAGCGAATGAATGAAGGAAAGATCGAGGGCTTCACAGCATAACTTCCTATTTCAGAAATAGAATTGTCACCCTCACTGGGTTTAATAAACTATGGCCCAAGGGCCAAACCTGGTCATTGCCTGATGGGTAAAGAAAGTTTGCTCAGATCCCATCCTAATCTATTTGTTCATAGATTTTTGTACAGTAGCAGCAGAACTGAGTAGTTGTGACCCATGTGAAGCCATTTCTGACTCCTTACAGAAAAATTTGCCTACCACTGCTTTGTGGCATTGGCTTTTAATCTTTTTGGTCCAGGGATCCCTTTGAGAATTTGATAAAAGCTTTGATATTGAATATATGCACATATACGGAACATTTTGATTTCAATTTCATGAGGATCAATGACTCCTTGAAGCCAATTTATCAATTCTCTAAGGATCCATGGATGCTACATTAAAAACTCTGTGGCCCAAGTCTAGCGCAGCTGGAGCTAAGGAAGGGATGGAACATGGCAGGAAGGTGGCTGGGGGAGCAGACTGGGGTAAAAGTCATAGCTCTTAAAATCAAAATGTAAATAAGAATGCAGTGTCCCTCATATATTTGACTGTCTTTCATGCTATGGTTTGAATGCATGTGTCCCTCCAAGATGCCTTTGGAACTCAAACCCCACTGTGATAGAGGTGGGGCCTTTAGGAGGTGATTAAGTCACAGCGGGTAGAGCTGTCATGAAAAGGATTAGTGACCTTATAAAAGGGCTGGAGGTGCCAGCAAGACCTTGTTCTGCTCTTTCATCCCTTCTACTGTGTGAAGACATGGAGGACTGATATAAAAGACTGCATTTTGGAAGGAGAGAGAACTGGTCCTCATCAGACATAGAACCTGGCAGCACCTTGATCTTGGACTCTCCAGGCTCCTGAACTGAGAGAAACATATTTCTGTTCTTTATCAATTGCCTTGGCTCAGGTATCCTGTCACAGTAGCAGGAATGGACTAAGCCATTGTCTGTGCATGTCTAGTCCCAGGGAACTTGCTTCTGCACAACACATTGCTCTCTGTGGGGGGAAAGACATCCTCACACAGCCACCTGAGTGTGTGACTCAAACACACTCATCCTCCTGCATGCGGAGGCTGTGGCCCAAAGGGCATAAGTCCATTTTCTCAGCTGCTGTGGAGAGCAAGGAAGAGCAGGTGGAAGGGGCCAGTCTGCCAGCCCTGATCATCCAGGAAGAGAGGCGAGAGGAGCAGGGGAAGGGAAGAAGAGCCAGGACCATTCTCATCCATCACACCCAGCTTTGCTTTGTTAAAAACAAGAGGCGGGCAGAGAATGCGAGTGTCTCAGAGCTAATGAAGTCATGAGCAATAGGAGGTGTTATGCCTCTGGGAAGCAAATTGTGGGCCAAACGAGCTCATTTTTTTAGCTGAATTATTAAATTAGCAGATGAAAGAAAGACATTAGACATTATGAATTTTGCTTTTAGCAGAGCCCTTGATAGAGGGCTGCACAGATGCTGGATAAATTCATCTTGTTTGGGGTTTGGGGGAAGCAGGCGTCCCTGGGATCCTCAACAGAGGGCCAGCAGTCCTGGGAGGGGCACTGGGTGGGGTGAGGCTTGGTAAACATTGGGGCGAGGCCCTGTCTTGGGGGCTTTAATCAATCCCACAGCCCTCAGGATGAAAGAGCTTATTGCTTTCAACTCAGAAAGGAAGATTGCTCAGGGGGAAAAGCACCGTGCCTCAGTGGCACAGAGTAGGCAGCAGAGGTCAGAGGGAGACTCAGGTCTTAGCCCAAACCTGGGGCGCTTTCCCTGAGGGTAAGAGAGACCCCAGAGCTCACAGGGATGACTTATAAATGGAGAAAGAAGAGAGATGTGGGCAAGAGTTAGCCCAGGCAAGGCGGGCTGGGGGCTCCCGGAAGAACTCCATCAAGGGCTAAGTGAGACAGTGGGAGAGTAGCCCAGCTGCCTCTAATTGTTGTGCTTCAGGAATATGTGACAAGCCTGTAGTGCCCGCCTGTAATCCCCACACTCGAGAGGCTGAGGCAGGATGATCATTGCAAGTTTGAGACCAACCTGAGCTACAAAGTGAGCTCAAGACCAGCCTGAACTGCACAGCGAGACCTTGTCCCAAAAAAAGACCAAGAAAAAAAAAAATGGAATATGTGACAAGTGGACATATGCTCAGAGAAGGGGCAGTGAATAGAGTCCAAGCCACGTAGTGGATGGTTGAGTGAACAAGCAGGGCTAGATCTCTTATGCAAAATTCAGAGGCCTGTTCCTGAGAATGCTGCAGACTACTGTGGCCTCAGAAGTTTGTGTTGAATCAGCCCATTGGATCCTAATGAGACAGAGAGCGCTTTTATGCACTGGGGACATCCAGACTTGCAGGGAGAGAGCTCCTTTTCCCTGAAGACATTCTGGAAGTAGGCACAGGACTCTGAGACTGGGTGAGGAAAGAGATCAGCTAAAGCCCCCATCACACTCTTTGGGAAACAGGCTGAGGAAGAGCATTCCAACAGCAAAGATCCCCAGGCCTCAGGCTGGGTGGGAGCCTGTGTTTATCTCTGAGATTTACTAGTGACCTGCATGTGCTTGAACACAGAAGGGCTGGACTCAATGACCCTGGGGGACAATGCCGTCCTTGCTAGTGGTCCTTCAGCAGAAGGGTGTGAGGATTCAGGTTGGTGCCCCTGTTCCTGGCTGCAGCTCAGAAGAGGTCTCCTCCCACCATGCTGTGTCTTGCCTTGTGCTGTGCCAGAGCTCACCCAAGTGCTCTCCCTTGAGGATTACTCCCAGACAACAGGGCTGAGGGGACGGACAGACTCTCCCAAGTCTTCCCAGCACAGGGCGGGCTGGAGGAGTGGCTCCCAGGGGAACTTCTCTAGTAGTGGGATCCAAACCCATCATAACCAGGAAACAAGAGGGAAGGCAAGTGAGGAAGTGAGAAAACACAATAGTCCAACCCAGCTACCAACCTTTCTTATGGTCCTACTGTGTGCCTGTGTACAAGACAGACAGGACATGAGCCACGGGAGGCCTGTCATACACAGGACAGAGGGAGGCACAGTCACCTATATTTCTCAGACAAGTTAGGCACAGCCAAGGTCCTTCAAAAATGGCGGAGCAGATGACTAGCTTGCTCGAAGCCATGAGAGACTACCTATGTCTAGGCTGATCTGAGGCATCCTTGAAGGGCCAGCTTTATGACGTCGCAGAGGCTTGCCTTTTGGGGCTGGAGGAAGGGGAGGAAGTGCACTGCAGGCGTGATGAGCGGTGAGGGTTGGGGAAGTCACAGGGCTTTGTACACCAGGAGGGCACTTCGTGCTGGAGGCTGGTGCTACTGAAGGGCATCTTTCTCCGTAGGAAAGTGAGAGTTCTATGTGGGAGAGGAGCAAGCTTAGAAACAAGTTCCAGGTGCCTGAATGTGAAGGCTGGACAGCAGGGGAAGAGATGGGAAGCTGGGATGCCGAGCAGAGGCTTGTGACCAAAACCCAGAAGTAACATCTTCCATTTGGTTGCTCCAGGGATGATGAAGAGAAGAAGGTTCTTCAAGTGTGCCTTCATGTGCACACCCCCAAGGAAGCCGTTCTTTCTCCCAGTGCACACATTTGGGGGAACATTTTGACATGTTGGTGTGGTATCTGAGCCTATGCCTCAGGGTGTGTGGTGTTTGACGTGCTGCGAAGGGTGTGCATGCCTGGTTAGGAGTTCTGCAGCTCTAGTTCTGCACATGTGAGTGTGTGTGTGTGTGTGTGTGTGTGTGTGTGTGTGTGTGTGTGATCCCTCTCCTACAGCACAGAGAGAAGTCACATGGGCAGACGTTGCCACAGCCCTGAAGTCTGGACTCCTATCTGCCTTAATTCCCTCCGTAGCTCTCCCGCCAGCACCCCTTGTAATGAGCTGGATGCTGCACATTGGACACTGTGGGGTGGCTGCGTGCATCTCATTAGAGCCCATAGCCATCTCCCTCTCCTGTCCTTGCGCTCTGAATCACACACTGCTTGGGCTGGGAGGGGCGGTGTGGTCCTTGCTAGTGTCCTCAGCAGAGCAGTGTGAGGATGCAGGCTGGAGCCCCTGTTCCCGGCTGCTGCACCAGAGACGACCCCTTCCCAGCCTGCCAAGGCTTGCCTTGTGTGTACCAGCCCAGATCACCCAAGTGCTGTCCCCTGAGTCTAAGCCACACTGAGCCGTTTCTGAGACCTGAACCACAGCACATGCCCCACCTGCTCTGAGGGTAGCCTAGAAGGGCCAAGGACACTTTGTCATTAGAGTGACAGTCCCAGGCCTCAGAGCCCAATCCCAGGCCTGGTCTTTACTCACTAAATGACCTTGGGGCAGATCTTCTCTAGTGTCAATTCCTCCCCATGTAGCATAGGGCCAGGCTTTCTGGTCTGGACTCTGATGGTGGACTTGGGAAAATAGGGAGGTCATCCTCCTTCCTGCTGCAGTATAGAGTCGTATGGCCAGAGTCAGGTGGGCAAGCTCCCTATCTGGAGATGAGGTGCCTAACAACTGCTCTCTGCAAGCCCAAAGTCCTGGCTCATGGTGTTTACCAATTTCTCTGGTGTAAACACTCCTGAACATAGAGCTAAAAGATGTGCAGAGGGGCTCTTGTGAGCCAGCAGGAGCTCGCTCAAGCGCATGGCTGTTTTATCTCAACACAGTGAGAGGAAGCCCAGCCAGACGAAGAATCTAAGTCAAGGTCAGGCAGGAGGTACGGGCTTGAGTGCCCAGCACTGGGTCTGAGCCAGAGGTGAGGCCATATGTGACAGAAATGAATCAGGCTGTGAGGCACTGGGGAGGTGAACAGCAGACTTGGAAGTGACGTGTGAGGGCCCAGCGTTGGCCAGTGGCTCCAGATAGAAGCACGTGGTGCCAGGTGATGTGCCCAGTGTGTCTGGAATACCATATTGCCTCCTGCAGCCCAAGCTTCAGAAGGGGAGGAGGTGTATGCGATGACGAGGCTGCTGGTCAGGCAGACAGGTGTTCCCTGCATACCAGGGATGACGTGTGAGCAGGCCTGGCCAGCGAAGGGCAAATCTAATCTCTGTAATTGTTAGTGCCTCAATTCTGGTGACAGTCTCATGAGGATGATGCCAAGGGCCTGGGGAGGGGGATGCCCTGGCTGACATCATCTGCTATTTCTGGGCCAATTCACAGCCTCCTCCAGTGGGAACTTCCTTCAGGACATAAATCATTCAGTCGTCTTACAGCTACCTCATCCTCCTGAAAAAGCAGAGGGATTCTGAGTTCACAGAGCCAGAGGAGGTATGAGGTCTGTACGTCCTCTGGAGATGGTACTGGAAGTGGAGGTAAGAATGTGAACCTTGAAGTCACTTGGGTCAGGGTTCAAATGTCACCTCTGCCTCTTATTAGCTGAAGGGCTTTGGGACATTTCTGACATTCCATTCCCTCAAATGGGGAAATAATGCAAACTTACTTTCTCTCTCTCTCTCTCTCTCTCTCTCTCTCTCTCTCTCTCTCTCTCCCTCTCCCTCTCTTTCCTCCCCCCCTTCTCTTAAAAAATATGCCCCTGGTGGCCAATCTCTGTTAGTTTCCAGGAGGAGATACAGACCCCCTTTCTAGACCCTTCCCTGGCTCTGTGGTGGCTTATAAGGCTGGGGATATAGGGGCCACTTGAGGGGAATGCAGGGTGTGGGAGACAGGCAGGCTGCTCAGTGGGGTGGGAAAGCTAGTGTGGGTGTGACCAGGGCTCAAAGCCCCCTCAGGAGCTTGCCTCCCATGCAAGGCTCAGAGGCCAGCAGGCAGCCTGGGTCTTTAGAGGCACAAGATGAGGGGCCCTTTCTCTGGCAGCAATACCTATCTGTCACCTGTCTGTCTGTCTGCCTGACTTTTTTCTTGCTCATTGCCTGGCTCTGTGGTCTGTCCCAACTGTCTGCCCATCTATCCCAAGGGGACGCACTGTAAGGCTTGATCCATTCCTGCTGCCTGCAGTTTTGCTGAAGCCAGCCTGATGTAGTGTCCATCTGTCAGTCTGCTGTGATCTGCCTTCCCATCACTGACTACAGCTGATTCTTTTGCACCCAGGCTCCATTTTATGATGTGTGAGTGAAAGGGTGGTGACAAATGAGACTGAGAGAGTGACAGACAGGAGCACATATACAGGGATGGAGCACGTGTGCACGCAGAGGGTTGACAGCTGGGTTGTCCCCCTTGAGATAGGGTTGCTCCAGATCTACCCGACCTCAGGTGAGTGCTTGGGGACCATCTCTGCCACAATGAAGTGTTCCCTGTCTGCATTCCTGACCACAGACAAAAGTGTCCCTACAGAGGCTTTAGGGGGAAGAGAGGAGGAGGGACAGTACCCATGGCAACCGATGGAGAGGCACATTTTGATTCAGGAAGAACCTTTGTAACAATGGAGCTGTCCAACAAGCAAAATGGACTGTTAGTAGAGTAGTGATCTCCCTGTCACTGAAGTTGTTCAATTACGGGCTGGCCACCCACCTGTCAGGGCTGCCGTGAGGAGTCCGACAGGCGAGGTCAAGTGGAGCCAACATTTACGTGATGTCCTCTGTGGAGAATCCATATAAAGCTCTTTGCACACTGCCTGGCACAGAGTAGATGCCCCAGAACAGAGCCATATTTAGGGAGGGAGGTTGGAATCAGAGATCTCATGGCCCCATCCTGTGGCCTTTGTGCTGGGGAAAGACGAAGGCCAATTTACCGCAACAGGTTATGAATAATGAGAAGCAAAGAACACGGGGTAATAAAGGGCTTCCCAGAATAGGAATGTCTCCATTCTCTCTCTCCCTGATTTGCATGGCTCCCGCAGGCTTCCCTCCCCTCTCCTAACTCAATTTCAATTTCAATTTCAATGTCAATAACTTCCCTGGCACGACAAGCAGCCCGGGGTTGCCAAAGTGAATCGGAACATCGAGTTTCAGAGTCTTGGACTGGCTCGTCTAGCCAGTGCTGTCCCCTCTTGGCCTGCCAGGCCCTTCTGATCACACATCTCTCATCCTCTGTGGCCTTTGGGGAGATTTATTTTTTACCCTCCCTGGCTGTCCGTAAGGTTATTTGAAAAAGATACACTCCCTCCTTTGAGCAAGACGTTCAAACAACAACAGCACCTGGGATCCCAGCTGCCTGTTCACCAGCTCTGCCCTGGGGACATAAGGATGAAGGAGGCTTAGTCCCCGCCCTGGAGATCCCAGGCAAGTGGAGGAGACAGGCAAGGATCCATAATTCTAATGATGTAGCAAGTGATTTGATGATAGAGGTGGGGGCTCTGAGAGCACAGAAGACAGCCCTGAGCTGGGGTGGGGCAGGGCAGCTTTCTTGAACAGGAAGAAGGGGAGGAGCTACTCGAGCTTCCTTGGATTCTAGGTGCCTGGGTCAGAGAGGGCTGGAATATCAGCAGACTGGGCATCTCCTCTCCTTTTGCTATAGCAGCTGTTGGCCCTACAGTGTCAGCAACACTCAGATCCTTTGCAAAGGGCGAGTTTAGCCTGAGAGAGGTGAGGAGGTAGCGTAAGGTGAGTGGTTGAGGCCCCTGGGCATGACAGCCTGTGACCTGTGATGGCTCGGTGGTCTGTCAGGGAGCACTGATGTGGGCTGGATGTGGTCCCAGGGGAAGAGGCCCTGAACAGGTGGGCTGAGGGTCCTGGCATCAGGGGGGCTCAACGGACCACTTGACACACCCAGGCTTGAGACCAGGATGGAGAGGGAGGGACTGAGATGGGAGCGGTCCTGAATGCAGAGGTGAATGAGCAACTGGATGAGCTGATGCCGGCTTTGTTGAGTTGGCATCCCTGCCCAGGGGCAACTGGAGGTCACTGCTTGTCTCCACCATGGGCAGCACAGATCAGGGAGTCAGACAGACAGGAGCTGAAGCTGCTTTGTCAGGAAGCCTTCAGGAGCTGGAGCTCATCCCTCCTTCTTCTCCCCTTGCTTCTCTTCCTCCTCCTCCTTCTTCTCTTTCTCCCTCTCTTCCTGATCCTTCTTTTCATCCTCCCCTCTGCCAGCCACCTGGTTGCCAAAAATGCTGATAGAAACCAATGAGCTAAAGCTTCCTCTGCCACCATAGTAAGGCTGTGGGCAGTTTCTCCAAGGTGAAGGGGCCCTGGGACCTGGCTCTAGCTCTTTGTTAAGGTCCAGCCAGAGAGGAGACCTCACCCTGCCTGGTCCTCCTGGTCCGCCTCTTTGCACAATCAGGGGCAGATGAGGCTTCAGGTTGGAGAGGATGCAGGATGGGAACCAGGGCAGAATGAGCACCCTTTCCTTTCCCTTACGGAGACTCATCCCACTCTTCAGTAAGATGACAGCAATAGGCCAAATCAGGGCTTTATGAAAAGGGTTGCCAAAGCCATGCCAGCAAGCTGCGCTGGAGAACAGAAGTTTGGGAGAGCACTCTCTTCCCTTCCATGTACCTATGGCTCTGAACCCTTCCACACACAGACACTGGGTGGGCTTTGTCTGATCAAGTATTTCTCATTCCCTGATGACCTCCTTTTCTCAAACCACTCAGAGAAGGAGCCAACATTGTTTGGAAACATTGTACTAAATGCTCTTCTCCACGGTTCCCTCCTGTCCTAAGAATCTAGATGTCTTTTTCTCAGAAGAAGGCGGAGGGGCAGGAGAGGAGGAGAGAACCATCATCTTGAAGTGCTTCCTTTGTCACCAGCTCTGCGCCATCTTTCTGACCTCATAGATCCACTGTAGGGTAGGCTCGATTCTCCCACTGGCAGATGAGGAGAGTGAGCTCTGGAGTGGCTCAGGGGATGCGGCCGTTTGCTCTCAGCCTGTGTAGGCAGAAGGGGAAGCCCTGCTTGGAAGGACTGGTCAGGGAGCTGCAGCTCTTCCCAGCAGTTCAAAGCTCTCTCTAGTCCCCATTTTCCCCACGGAGGGTCATCTCTTTCTTTGGATAGGAATTTGGAAAGATGTTAGGGCAAAGACAGAGGAAGCCAAGGGCCAAGCAAAATCATTTGTCTAGAATTTAAAAGCCACTTCTAAGAGTTCAGATCCACAGAGGGCTGGCGAAAGTGTGAGGCTGGCAATATGGGGCTGTGTAGTGTGGTGGAAAGAACAGAACTTTGGAGTCAGACAGGCCAGGATTCGTATCTGTCCACCAAGAGACTCTCTTTACTCACCTTCTTACTTATCTGATGGACCAGATCAACTAACCTTTGTCCTCCCTCTGCCAAACACCCCACTATCCCCTTAGCATTGGATTGTTGGGCTACCAGATGGTCCTGTCTCCTCTGCCCATGTTGTGTGCTCACAGCATGCATGCTCCCAAGCCTGTTCACGTCTTATACATTTGTCACTGTAAATAGGTAATTTAATTGAATATAACATAAGCCAATTAAGTGAGCGCAGAAAAGTTATGTTTCTATGGTAATTAATTTATGCTTTGGAAAGATTGCTGAAAACTTCTTGTACAATTAGATGTGGGCAAGAGTAGAAAAGATCTAAAGGAAAATAAACCCTCTACAGGGGGTCTGTGTACATTGATTGTCTTGTGAGGAATCAAAACCAGAAATCTCTTAGGTGATAGCTCACATGAAAAAGACAATGCGATCTTCATTAATGCGATCTTCGGAAACCTGTTCACCTTTCTGCGCTTCATTGTTCTTGACTGTAAAGTAAACAAAATAATTCCTAGCATGCAGAGTTGCTGGGAGGAGAAAGTGAAGCTTTCAGTAGCCCCAGTCCTCTCCATTCCCTTCAGGACAAGCCCTTTGTCCCCTTCCTGCCATGGCTAGAGCCCCAGCTCAGTGTCACTGGGGCTTTGTCCACAGGGGTGCAGCTGGGCTATTCTGATCATGATCAGGGCTTGAAGCACCAGCTCTCCGGAGGAAGGACACCTTCAAAGAGGAAGAGCCCTTCCAAGGAGTAGAATGAGATTCTGGCAGCATGACAAAGCAGCAGGTGACAGTACACACGAGGGCCTTCTTGGCCTTCTTCAAGTCACCACTCCTATGACTGGCCCTAGGTCGTAAGGATATGATCTTTCTTCTTTCTTTCTTTTGTTCTTTCTCCACTTCCACTGTCATTCTCTCTCTTTCCTCCTCCTCTTCTTCTTCCTCCTTCTTCTTTCCCCACTCCGTTTTCATCTTCCTCTTATTTTTTTGGTGGCATTGTTTTGGAGGCCCTCTACCACTGAGGGCCTCCAGCCCTTTATATTGTTAATTTTTGACACAGGTTCTTGCTAAATTGCTCAGATTGGCTTCAGACTCTCAGAATCCTTCTGCCTTAGCCTTCCTAGTAGGTAGGACTAGAGGCATGTACTCCTTCACTCAGCATGTTGGTTTTTAAAAATGAGAATGTATCTTGACAATTATGTTCT